CTAGAAAGTCTGTCGAATATCTGGTGGATTAAGATATTCAAACATTATTGAATAGCAGCTTTTAATATTTTTAAAAACTACCAAACTTTCTGCAGGTAGGAGTCCCGGGTAAGAAGAGGTTGATTAAAATAGAATAAAAAATTAATACAAAATTTCAAAAAATGACATTGGTTTGGAATTAAAAGCATTGTGAATTGAGGCGACATATGCTGTAATTTTAATGCATTTTATTTTCTTTTTAATAAAATTAATTAAAGTATCAGCAAAATTTATGTCATAAGTGGAATTCAAATGATTACAAATTTTAATTTCTTTCAACCAACCTCTTTTTACCGGGTCCGCTCAAGGTTTGTTGACATTCTGAGGACTTTTTTACTTGGGTATCCTTTAACGATTAAAATTATTAACTTTTTGCAACATTATGAAAATCGTGTTAAATTTCACCAAAAGCAACGATTATTTAAAAGATTGTATACTTAATAAGGGGTGTACCTCTATGGAAACACCTTATATATGTTAGTTTCAATTGTAATACAGATAGGTTTAAATTCATATTAAAACACGGGTTGATAATTCTATAAGTAAGGAAACTGTCATTATTACAAATCAAATCATCAGCCTAAATGATTTCCTTACAGATCGCATACTTATTTAAAAATTGTTAACATTTAAATATTTCAAAAAAATAAAGACAGAGTGAAGGACATATGGACAATAGAGGCGACGCGACGGTTGCGAATTTGTGAAGATTTTAAAATTATAAGTATCATGTTGGGACAACAAGCAGGTTTTACGATAACACCTTGTTTTTTATGTTTGTGGGACAGTAGAGATCGAAAAAATCATTACATACAAAAAGAATGGCCCAAAAAAACATCATTTCCACCAGGTTCCAAAAATATCATAAAGAATCCTCTAGTTAAATCCACAATAGTATATTGTGCAACAAGTACAGAAAGAAGCTGTTTTCCGACGAGTGCAAAGTTTGCTGTCCCGAGCGAAGCGAGGGCAGCAATTTGCACGAAGTTGGAAAATCTTCTTTCGTACGTGTTGCACACAGTACTTTGTGCAACACCTTTTGGTTTTGATAAAAAAAGCTGTTTGGAAACGCTAGTTGACGCCAACATACGTACTGTTTAGCAGGGTTTGGAACGTATGTTACCGCACTTAATATTCGTGGTTTTTTACGCGTATATTACTGTAAAAAACAGGTATTCTACAAATAGAAAACAAATACCTATGTATATCACCAAAAAAACCCAAAAGTTTAAGAACTTTGCCGCACTAGTGCAGCAAAGTAAGCACTTTGCAGCAAAATAACCACTTTGCCGCACTAGTGCAGCAAAGTAAGCTCTTTGCCGCACTAGTGCAGCAAAGTACTGTTTTGCGCCTACTTTACAGGCATGCAAAGTATTACTTTCCTTACAGGTGTTGCACAAAGTTAATTCTACCACCTTTACATATTAAACTAGGGGTAACGAAACAGTTTGTAAAGTCTGTAGATAAAGAAGGGAAATGTTTCAAGTACCAGAAACAAAAATTTCCAGAGATCTCTGATGCGAAAGTAAGGTAGGGGATTTTTGCTGGGCCACAACTTCGCAAACTGTTAAAAATGAGAAATTCATCACAGTAATGAATAAAATGAAGAAATATGCGTGGCTTAGTTTTAAGGGATTTATTGAAAACTTTCTTGGCAATCATAAGAGCGAGAATTGAGAACTAATAGCAAATGGTATGATTAAAAGCTTTCAAAAATTGAGATGCTTGATTAGTTTGATGATCTATTTCCTAAATTCACATCTAAGTTATACTTTCCGAAAAATTTAGGAGAATATAGCGAGGAACAAAGAGAACGGTTTCATCAAGATATTAATGAAATGGAGCGCGGCTATCAAAGCAGATGGGGCGTAATTTGATGGCTGACTCCCTTGCGAATTGAGAACACCGAGAAAGCACCGACATTTTGGTGATTTTGCAGTGTTTTGTAAATAATATATAAAAAACCAAATAAAACCACAAATTTTATTAGAGGAATTGAAAGAGGACATTCCAATGAAGAAATTGATATAGGCACTTTAATAATAAACATTGATTTTCAATGTGAAAATAATTTTTAAAGTTGAAGTTAAAATTTAGAGTTAAAAATATCGTCGGTGATTATTTACATTGACACGGTGTTTTGTAAAATAATTATGTAAATACACTTACTTGAAACCTAAAAGTATTTAAAATAAAAAGCCAGTAAACTACAGAATAAATTAAAAGCAAAAAAATTACCAATTAATAAGACACTTATTGTAAAAATAAATATAAAAGTGAAAAGTTTGCTTCCGAATGTGATACAAAGAGAACGAGTAATTCTCTTTGTAGATAAATGGGAAAGTTAAATGATCATTTACCATAAGAGCTCGCTTGATAACATGAAAAAAAAGAAAGTGTTACCATATTGCAAATATTAACGTTTTTTCTCTCAATAGATGTCGGGCTGAAAGATTTCTAAATTACAATTTTCAATCATTCTGAAAAGTGATAAAGACAAATTTTTAATATTGCATTCAAAAGGTAAGTTTCAAAATTTTATTTATTAATTTATGGCAAGACATTTTTTAATTTAATACAAAAATTACTTAAATTAAAAATTAATTAAAACTTAAAACTTTTATTTAATAATTATTCAATAAAATAATACATGATATTTTTTAAATTGTTTATCTTTTTAAGAATAATAAAAAAAATTACTAATTGAAGATGGCGGACTAATACAATTTTTTGAATTCGCTCTAAACTTGTAGAAATTACCTTTAAGAGTTTTTTCTCCTACTGATAACAAATTTGTTGATATTTTTTGAACTAAAATATTACTAATTCAAGAAGGCGGACTAACACAATTTTTTAATTTTGCTCTAAACGTGTAGAAATTCATTTTTGAGTTTTATCTCCTAATAACAAATATGTTAATACATTTTTTTTAAATTTAAAAATTACTAAATAGCTAACTTTTAATTAAAAACTATTTTTATTAAAATTAAAAATGAATTGGAATGTAGTTTTAATACTAGTATGAGTACAATAATCATATGTTCTAATAACAGGGAATTTAGGGTTTTCAGGATGTCTACTGAAAATATGACTTAAAATTCCAGGACATTTTCAGTACATTTCAGGACAGATTTCTTATTTTTTCAGGACATTTATATGTGTAACAGAAGTCAGGGAAAAGTTAGGGATTTTTATTGAAAGTACTGAAAAAAATTTAATTTTTAGAATTTATAGAAAAATTCTGAATTTTGGTGTCTTTTTTGTTTGCCTTATGAATTATGAAATTGACAAGAATTCTAATACTACACGGAGAAAAATAGTTAGCTATTTCAGCTAATTTTTAGCTACCTTAGCTAACCTTAATTGCTATTATATGGATAGCAATTATTGTTAGCATAAATTCAATTATGTTCGAAAATTTTTAAAAATTCTCGTCAAGATTTCAATTATCTTTATAAATAATAAAATTCTTTTTAAAAATTCAATTATTTTTAAAAAATTTAATTAAATTCTTGTCAGAATCACAATTATTTTCAAAAATTTTCCTAATTTTAATTTTTTTTATATCTACTATTTTAATAAAATTTTCGCATCAATTCAATTATTTCAAATTTTTTAATAAAGTTTCTCGGAAGAATTGAAATATATAAAGAGAATTGAAAAAAATAGCTCGGAGAAATTCAATTACTTTGAAAAATTTAAATAAAATTCTTTTACAAATTCTAATATTTAAAGAAATGTTGACAAAATTCTTTACAAGATATAGTTTATTACATTGTAATTTTAATAAAACTTTTCTAATTTCCTAAAATTATTTTTACAAATAAATTGTTTATGGAAATTCAATTATTTAAAATAATTTGAATAAAATTCTTCGCTAGAAATCAATTATTTTCTTTCTTGAGAATTCAATTATTTTCAAAAATTTTAATAAAATACTTTATAAATTTAAAAAATTATAATAAAATCGGTCATAGAATACAATTTATTATTTTCGTAAACTACCACATTTTTTCTAGAAATACAATTGTCACAAAATGTTTGTAAAACTCTTTGACACAATTCAATTATTTAAGAAATTTTAATAAAAGTCTTCCCAAGAATTCAATTTTTTTCAAAAATAAACATTTTCACAGGAATTCAATTATTTAAAAAAATTTTTTTAAAATTCTTTGTCAGATTTCAATTATTGTCAATTTTTTAATGAATTCTGAAAAATTTAATTATTTAAAAAAATTGGAATAAAATTCTTTACAAAGAAATTAATTATTTTCATAAATAATAATATTTTTCTCTGGAATTCAATTATTTTCAGAAATAAAGTTCTTCATAGGAATTCAATTCTTTAAAAATATTTTTAATAAAATTCGTTTCCAGAATTCAATTATTTTCATAAATAACAAAACTTTTAATGATTAAATATGTCTTTAAAAAAGGAGTTATTAAGGACGTTTTAGGACATTTTTTCAAAATTCAGGACATTTCCAGGAATTTCAGAACTTCAAGGACCAGTAGACACTCTAGTTTTTTATTAAAAGTACTGAAAAAAGTTAAATTTTTAGAATTCATAAAAAAATTCTGAATCTTAAACATAAACTATGAAATTATCACAAATTATAATATAAATACTTTAATTTTTTAATTTCAGACGATAATTTCTTTTTAAATAACTTAAATCTTGATTTAATTTCAATTTTCAAATTTTATAAAATTTCAATTTTGAATTAATTTAATTTTTGAAATTTTAAAGAACTTCAATTTTTGAAAATTTTTAATAATTTAAAATTTTGTAAAATAAATTAAATTTGTCAATATATATTTAATTAATTATTAAAAATAATGGATTTAAGGAAATATCGAAATTTTCATTTCTAAAAAAAGAAAATATAAATTGTAACGCGAATTTCTCTGGTTCTTTAAGGAAATTATTCACATAAGAGTTGAAATTAATTCAATTTATTCAAATAAAATTACAAAATTATGTTTAAAAAAAAAAAATTATAAATTGAATGTTCCTCTAGGATTAATCATTATGACCTTTTTCCCTATGTACGGACGTCCATTTCCTGAAACAGAGTATATTTTTATTTGTTAAAAGTAATTAAACAATATTTTCATTATTAACTATATAAACTACAACAATTCTGTATTTTCTTATTTTTCTGTCTCTCACACGCTTAAGTTAATCTTTTGTGTAAATTTCTGTTCTTTGTTAAATTTTAATTTGCATCATTTCTTTTTTAACAAAATTGAAAGCTTTTTTTGGAAATAAAAAAAATAATTTTTATAAATTCGATTTGTCACATTTATTTTTCAAGTTATTAAAAAAATCTTATAATTTGTAGAAATGATGTTTAACACCCCTAGAATTTATTTTTGAGAATTATTATCCAAACTTTTTGAATTTAACTTAGAATTCCAGGGCTCGAACCAGTAAAAGTATTTATAAATACTGACTTTACGGACTACAAAACATGCAGATATCGATAATGATCGATTTATTTATAATTTATAATAATTACAGATGATCGAGTGATAAAATAATTGTCAATTCAATTTTTATTTGCCACAATTTTTAACTAAAATTCTTATTCAAATTGATTATTTTTATTAATTTTTCGAAAGGTTCTTTGATAGTTTTCAAATCCATTTGTTTACAATATTTAACTTTGCGAAATTTCAATTATTCGTCAATTCGTCATTTATATATATATTAGAAAAAATAAAAATTTAAAAGATATAAAAAATTCTATTAAAATTTTTCAAAAAAATTAATTTCAAAATTCAATTATTTCTAAAAATTCAAGGTAATGCTTTCAATATTCAATTAATATCTAAAATTTTAACTAAAATTCACTTTTATATCAATTTTTGGTTAAAAATTCTACTAGAATTCAATTATTTAAATACAAAAATAAATAGTTTATTGAATATTTTAATGTTTCTTAAAATTCAATTCCCGTAAAGAATTTTATCAACAAATTTTTAAATAATTGAATTCTTTCGACAAATTGTAATAAAATTTTTAACAAAAATTACATTTTTCGATAAATTCGATTAAAATTCTATTAAAAGTAATTGAAATTCTGCAATGAGCTTTATTATTTATAACAATAATTGAATGTCAAAGAAGAATTTTATTATTTTTGAACAACATTTAATTTTTGCCAAGAATATTTTAACTTTAAAATATAATTGGATTTCTGCAATAATTTGTAAGATTTCCAAAACTAAATTTTTTTTCATGTTTTTGACTAAAGTTCTACTATATATGCATTATTTTTTAATAATTTTTGAAAAAGATCTTTTAGAATTTTCAAATTCATTTGTTTACAATTCAATTTTACAAAATTTTAATTTTATTATTTATTATTATTATTTGAATTACCTCTATTAAAATTCAATTTTTTTCCTTTTTTTCTTCCTTTTCTTCGCCACTCTCCGTCACCTGTCTCCTTTCTTTCCTCTTCATTCTTCCTTCCATTTCTTCCCTTTCCATTTCCATTTCCTTCCCTTTCTTTTGTGCTTCCTCTGCTCCTCGATCGACTATCCCTTTTCTGTTCCTTATTCTTATCTCCTTTCCTATTCCTATCTTCTCTCCTTGTTCCTTCTTTTTTATTTGGATCGTTTCCATCATTCACGATCTGAAAGAATATTTAAATTTAGTTGGACAAAATTATAAGACTAGTGTTGCCGCGATAATGTCGAGAGACGAGACGAAACGAGAAAATAATTATACGAAATAAGACGAGACATTGTTTTTTAAATATCGTTTAGTCGATACGAGACGAGAGAGTAGTCACTAAGACGAGAAAACGTGATTTCCATGCATTTTTAACGTACGAGACAAGACAAGATGATAATGCATAGGGGAGACCGGGGCGTAATGGCTAACTTTTCACTCTTTGCTGTTTTACTCGGACATTTTTGTTCTAATTGAATGTTTATCTTCCGGAAAAGTTACTCTGGTATCTCAGCTTTCTTTTAAGACTACAAACGTCCCGATATGACTCTTACTTTTTGTTCTACAACAGTTTTTCTGGAGCAATGCAGAGCTCCAAAATACGCCCCGAGCCGGGGCGTAATGGATAACTCCCGGGGCGTAATGAATAATGATTGCTAATTATTATCTACAGTTTCCAATCTTATTGTATATTGTAAATTAAGGTTCCTGGGTATTCCGTGAATGCTATTTTTATTCAGCAATACTTCTCCTATCGCTTTTTCAATAATATTCTGTGATATTTGCACTCTCTCAATTTTTTTTGTAATTTCTCATTAAAATCATAGCTTGAAATCTACTATTTGTAAATTTTAGACCAAAACTTAAAAATTTTGTTAAAAACACCTAAACATACTTAAACTAAGTGACAAGTAACCGCGAAAACAAACCTACACTTCGCCGATATAGTAGGTTGCTTTTTATACATAGCATATTGCATTAGCCAACACGCCCCGGGAAAAACTAGCCATTACGCCCCGGAGGTATTCGGCAAATATTTGGCTTTTTTTAACAATACCGGAAGTGTGAATCAAAAATCTCGAATTGTCCCTTAAAAACAAACGTGTCAAGATCGAAACCTCATTTCAGTTTTTTTTTTAAAGCTATTTTTGAAAAAAATAGAACGAAAAAACGAAAATTTTGAAAAGTTACATTCGTATGTCAAAAATAGTTTTTCTACTATATTTCTTACAATAATGAATAAATATTAATGAAACTTCCGACAAACTTGCAGTATACCAAGTACAATAACTTGTCTATTGTGCGAAATTATTACAATTTACGGTTTTTAAACAAATTACAATTATTCATTACGCCCCTTAGCCATTACGCCCCGGTCTCCCCTACTCTCTAAATCTGAATTAGTGCGGATTCGTTTACTAATTTGAATTAGTAACATTTTTTACTAATTTTTAGTAGTTTTTTACTAATTGCTAGTAGAAAATCACTAATTCAATTAGTAGAACGTATTTTTTACTATTTCAAATTAGTAAATTTTCTACTAATAATTAGTAAAAAACTACTAAAAATTAGTCAAAACAGTTACTAATTCAATTGGTAAACGAATCCGCACTATTTCATTAGTAGAAAACTACTAATTCAAATTTAGAGAGTAGGATTCTTGACGTTCGAGGCGAGACGAGAAATCGCCTTATAATTACGAGACCAGACGAGATTGATAGAATTCTCGCCTGGTCTCGTATCGCAGCAACACTACGTAAGATTGATATCTTGTAGTCTCCAGCTGAATCCAGAATAAGAGAGAGTATGCACCGATGCGATGTTTATGGTTTTCGCTATACTAAAGCATGCTGCAATATACCTATAGCTATAAACATTGGTGTGCACCCTCTATCATTCTCGACTCACTTCCTGTCGTCCATACTATCTGAAATGGCATTTTCACTCATATCGAAGCCTTTTGTCGTCCTGTTACTTAATAAACCAGTCAAATTATCATTTTTAGACATTTTATCTCAGGACCGGGATTTTTTTAACCCTTTATTTTGGGGTCTAAATAAAGCGCCAAAATTTGGTATATATAACTCCGTCGGGAAAGACAAGAATTTTTGCAAAATCCTCAAAAAGGGTCAACTTTTAGAGATTGAATATCTAAAACTATTACAGCTATATTATTTTTCTTTGTCGTTAACTGTCAGGAATTTAGTCAGCTTTAAGTCCTCTGTCGGTCGTTTAAAAAAATCATTATTTTAGAAGTAGTTTTAAAGAAATTAAAAATAGCGAATTTTGGCCAAAATAACGAAAAAAACGGGAAAGCGGTTATTTTCAAGTAATTGATTTTTGCACCTATTTTGAAAAATTTTTTTTCCTTACCGACGGAGTTCGAGGTACCAAATGTAGGCACTTTATTTTGACACTAAAATAAAGGGTTTAAGCCAAAAAATTGCGGTCCTAAAATAAGATACGCCATCTTTTTTGACTACTTTGACTGAACTATAATGTTTTTCGCAATGTTTGATCTAAATCTTACTTTAAATGCTGCCGCTCTCGCTATTTTACTATTGCCGCCACTCCGTCCTCGTCCGTGACGTATTCTTTTTACCTGTAATTTTTTGTTTATAAATCAGCTTCTACTTAACAGTTAAAAAATCCTTTAAAGTATAAAAAATTATTATAAACAATTTTTACATCTTCCTCTATTGAATTATCGTTTACGGCTACACGGTTTCTTTTGTAAGGAGAGGATATTGTATATTGCATTAGAATCGACAAAAAAGTTCAAATAAAGCTATTTTCTAGAATTTTTTTACGATTCCTATGAATTATATTGATTTTCGGATTAAAAAAATTGTAAAAATTAATATTTTAAAATAATTCCAGTCTTCACAGTCTGTCTCCCATTTCCCTAAAAGTCCCCTTTTTTAATTTTGGCCCCTAAACGTACTCGTATTCATGTGTTTAAAAAACTCTTAGTTTAATAATTAAACTGAAAACAAAATTTTATAAAAATTTAAATTAAGAAAAAAAAATTTCTGTAAGAATAAATATTTTAAATTTATGTTTGAACGACTAGTTAAAAGTAAATTGATATTTACCGTTTTACTCCTTATTGTAATAAAAAAATTCTAATACAAAACCTTCAAAACAATTTTCTATTTCTGCCAAGAATGAATTTTTTAATATTATTTAATTATTACAAAAGTTTTAATGCAATTATCTTGATAAATAACAAAATTCTTCACAGAAATTTAATAATTATTAGGAATTTTAATAAAATTCTTTACAGAATTCAATTATTTTCATAAGTTACAATATTCATCCCAAGCATTCAATTATTTTCAAAATTAATCAAATTCTTCGAAGAAATTCTATTATTTTTAAAAATTATCACGAATATCTCGTAAAAAATTCAATTACCTTCACAAATAGCAAATATTTTCGCCAAAAATTTAATTACTTTCAATTTATAAAAATCTTTGCGAAATTTCAATTACTTTTAACCAAAGATTTTTTCAATTCAATAATTTTCACTATTTACTACATTCATAAAATTATAAACAGATTTAATTCTAGAAAAAACTTTTTGATATAATTATACGAAAGGATTTAATTATTTTTATAAATAATAAAATTTCATTTACGAATTTAATTATTTTCATCGTAGAATTTCAAATATTTTTAATACAATTTGAAATAAATTCCTTGAAAAATGGAAAATAATTCAAATATTTTCATAAATAACATTTAATTCTTCGCGGAAAATCAATTATTTTCTAAAATTTTTAAGTCATTTTGCAAAAGAATTCAATTAGCTTGAAAGAAAACAAAATCGCATAAATTCTGCGCGTAAAATCAATTATTTTAAGGGATTTTAATAAAATTCTTTTCCAAAATTCAATTAATTATTTTGATAAATATCAAAATTCATCACAAGAATTCAATTCTTTTGAAAAGTAATAAAATACTTTGCAGAAATTAAATTATTTAAATTTTTTTTTAAAAATTCTTATCAAGAATTAAATTTTCTTTATAAATAGATAGGGAAATTCTTCTCAAGAATTCAATTATATTCAGGAATATTTATAAAATTCATTGTAAAATTCAATTATTTTTATAAATAATAAATCTCATTGTATAATTTCAATTATTTTCAAAAATTTTAATAAAACTTTTGACAAAATTTAAATTATTTTCAAAATTAATTCAAAATTAGTTTCTATTTTTAAAATTTTAACGCAATTTTTTGAAAATTCTCGTCAACATTTGAATAATCTTTTTAAATAGCGAAATTCTTCATCAAAATTCAATCATATTCAGAAATTTTTATAGAATTTATTGCAAAATTAAATTACTTTCATAAATTACGATATTCAGTATAAAAGTTCAATTATTTTAAAAATTTAATAAAATTTATTTATTTTGAAATTTTTTAATAAAATTAAAGGCAAAATTTGAATTATTTTCCTTAATAATAGTAATCATCACAAGAATTCAATTATTTTCAACAGTAATAAAATTCAATTATTTAAAAAAAATGAAATAAAATTCTTGTCAAAATTTCAATTATATTCAAAAAATTTTCTTAATTCTATGATTTTCAATATTCTACACTATTTTAATTAAATTTTTCTGAAAGAATTCAATTATGAAACAAAAATTTTGATAAAATTTTAAACGAACATTCAATTATCTTTCAAGAAAATAAAAAATTCCACAGGAATTCGTTTATTTTTAAAAAATTTAATAAAATTGTTCAAAAAGTTTTCAATTATTTTCAAAAGTTGTTAATTTTATTTAACAGTTCTGTAGAATTAATTTTTTTTTGAAAAAGTTTAATTGAATAATAATAATAATTGATGTTATTGATTTAAAGTAGAATTTTTGTTATAAATTCTAGAAAATGTTAATTGAAATGATAGAAATAATTTTGAAGAAATGCAGTAACAATATTTTTATAATAATAAAATAATGATTTTGTCTGTCGGTCATCTTTATGTTTTATAATAATATTCTGATGAGTTGTTCAATTTGAAAAGGTTTGAATTTGAAATCTTTGAACATCTTAATTCCAATGAAAAAAAATGAATAAATATTTATTTTAAATAAAAATATTGATGTTTTCGAATATTTTTACTTTTGAAGAAATTTGTAAATAAATTTAATAGAACACTTTTTGAGTATCTAATAATTTTTAGAGTGAATCAAAATATTCTTTAGAGTCAGGGAAAAAGTGGAAGTTTTGTTTGGAAATCAAGGAAAAGTCAGAGAAAAAAGTTAAATTTTTGTGGCAACCCTGTATAAATAAATAATAATTTTATCTTTATTTAACCAATTTTTATGGTCCCCTAAAAGTCTCCTATTTTCTCATTTTTAGTCCCCTATTTCCCCTAAAATACTTTTTAGAGGCACTGTGAAGCCTGTAATTCTAGTTCCGACGATAGCCACACGTATAACGAAGATTTTTGTAAAAAAAAATTTAGAATCGGTCTAGAAGTTTCCGAGAAAAACATTACGCAGAGTGTTTTTGAGAAAAAAAGCGTTTAAAATGATCAAATTCTTACTTCATCGGTTCGTTGACTTTCTGGCGGCAATGAACTGGTGGTAGATTTTGGTGACACCTATAAAAAACAAATTTTTGATTTATTTTTTGACCCTACAATAATTTTGATTAACTACAAAAATAAATACATAAACAGGGTTCAAACCAGTGAAATTATTTAAAAATACGGACTTTATAGGCTAAAAATGAAAAATTACGGACCAATTATTAATATTAAAAAATATACAGTCAGAGTCAAATAAGAAAAAATTTCATTTCAAACTATAAATTAAACTTTTTAATAACTATATAACATTAAAAAATCACTCACAGTTACAATAATTTGTAATTTTTCCAAAATTTAATTTTTTTAAACTAAAATTCTTCTTTACATCCATTACTTAAAACTATTTTTGTAAAAGTTCTTTGAGAATTTTAAATTTATTTGTTTGCAATATTCAATTTTATAAAATTTCAATTGTTTGGATATTTTTCAAAGAAAGAAAAATTTTTTTTAAATTATTAGTTTACAAACTAATTTTATTATAATTCTAATTAAAAAAAATTTAATTTTAAATATTCTGTAAACATTAAAATATTATTTATATAAAACATGTTTATTTGTGTATTATTTTTATACTCACATTTGGATCCGTCGAGCTCATGATGGATTTCAGAGCACCCAAAAACAGCGCTGCCAGTTTGAATCTGTTAAAAAACCTAATTATTAAAATAATAAGAATAAAAGAAAAGTAATGTGAACGATTAAAAATTAAGTTTAAGCTAAAAGCCAAAAATTATAAGCATTGACCATCTCTCTCAAACATTCCGGGAGAGATGAAAATATTTTTTCATAACGCGGTGCAAAAAAGGGCACTTTTTTGCACCTTGTTATGAAAAATATCGTTCGTAACTAGTGCTAGCAGTTGCCAATTTTTGAAGGAGCACTTTTTTTGGAACAAACTGTAGGCGAAGCTTCGCCTACAGTTTGTTCCAAAAAAAGTGCTCCTTCAAAAATTGACAACTGCTCACACTCGTTACGAAATATACTATATTTTTCGTTACTTTAAAGTTGAGATTTGAATGATTAATTATTAATAAAAGTTTACACAAAAATCGCTTTTTTGTAATTTTTACCGTGCTTTAAAAAACTATGAACATCTCCCCCCGGACTTTATTCAATTTTACGACATTTCAATTATTCCTATAAATTCTTCAATATTAATTAGAAAATAAAAACTTTAAATAGGTAATATAAAAAAGAATTCAATGTTAATTGAATTCTTTTTTATATTACCTATTTAAAGTTTTTATTTTCTTCTTCAAAAAAATTAATTTCAAAGTCCAATTATTTGTAAAAATTCACGCTATATTACTTTTAATATTCAATTATTATTTCATCAATTTTTATTAGAATTCAATTGTTTAAAAACAAAAATAATAATAATAGACTTATTAAATATTTCTTAAAATTAAATTCTCATAAAGAATTACATTTTTCAAAGAATTCGATTAAAATTGTATTAAAATTAATTGAAATTCCTTGATGAGTTTTATTATTTATGAAAATAACTGAATTCCTAAAAATAATTTTATTATTTACGAAAATAATTAAGGGCACTGTAAAAAGAAGTGTGTTACTGGAATGCACTTCAAGTGCATAAATTTTTCCCAGTTCTGAACACACTTTGAGTGCATTATTCTCATGCACTTTGACGTCAAAGTGTGTAATTCTTATGCATTTTATATTTTATGCACTTCAAAGTGCATTGAAATTACACACTTTGACGTCAAAGTCTTATAACATCCAGCATTCAATTTTATTGAATTCAGTAAAAATTGTATTATTCATGAAAATAAAAAATTTGAATTATTGCGAAGAAATTTATAAATAATTGAATTACTGTGAAATATTTATTATTTTATGAAAATAATTAAAACTTTTTTAAACAATTACATTCTTTTGGAAAAATTTTATTAAAATAGTAGATATTGAATATCATTTAAATAAGGAAACTTTTTGAAAATAATTGAAATTTTGCCAAGAATTTTAATAAAATTTTTGAAAGCAATAGCATTTTGAAGAATTTATTATTTATAAAGATAATTGAAATTTTGACAATTTAAAAAAAATTTTGAATATAATTAATTTTTGCGAAGAATTTTATGACTTTTAAAACTTTGTTTACAATTTAATATTTTACAAAATTTCAATTTTGAATGAATTTAATTAGACACTTTAAACAACTTAAATTTATGAAAAATTTCACTAACTCAAATTCTTCTGAAATTAGTTTAATTTAATTTTTTTAATTGGGGGGGGGGGGCTGTACTAAACGTGACACAATGTATTTTTACATGTGAAAGTTTAAGTCCACAATGTTGATCAACGAAAATAAATTTTCAATAAACTTTTGAAAATAATTGAAATTTTGCCAAGAATTTTAATAAAATTTTTGAAAGCAATAGCATTTTGAAGAATTTTATTATTTATAAAGATAATTGAAATTTTGACAATTTAAAAAAAATTTTGAATATAATTAATTTTTGCGAAGAATTTTATGACTTTTAAAAACTTTGTTTACAATTTAATATTTTACAAAATTTCAATTTTGAATGAATTTAATTAGACACTTTAAACAACTTAAATTTTTGAAAAATTTCACTAATTCAAATTCTTCTGAAATTAGTTTAATTTAATTTTTTTAATTGGGGGGGGTCTGTACTAAACGTGACACAATGTATTTTTACATGTGAAAGTTTAAGTCCACAATGTTGATCAACGAAAATAAATTTTCAATAAACTTCATTAATAAAAAATATTGCAACTATATCGCAAGAAAAGTTTATTAAAAAAGGTAGTAAAATGCAAAAGAAAAGAAAAAAGTAATAAAATGTTAAAATATTTCACCTTTTAAAGCGCTGTTTATCCGTACTAAATTTCGCAGCACTGCGAACGACTACAAATGATCAACTGAACGACTAAACAGCGAAGATTGTATTAGAAGCGTTAGAAGATGCCGAAAACACTAACGATATGGAGGGGGAGGATAGACCTGTTGTAACATGGGCGGCACGCGCCACAAAAAATGCACACAAGTGGCTGAAGTGCCCTAATGGGAAATCCACACTACGATCTAAGATGCGTATAAGCGGGACGCTTTTTCGTTACGCTCTTATGTATATAGATAGTGTAAAATGTAAGAAGTGCCACGAAAAAACGTCCTGCCATACATGAGATAGAAAAGTACAGAGAAATATTTGTATTTTTTCTATCTCATTCATCACGTTCTCGCGACGCGTTTTCAGAAAAAGTTTTGTTGTCAGTTGATGAACGCGAGCGGCCCCCACTCTCACGGCAACTTACACCTTCCTAGACCACACACATACTATCATACGTGAGAGTGGGAGCCGTTTGCGTTCGCCGTCTAGTCCACCGCTGATTTCATTATTCCAACGGGAGCTTCTTCGGATTGCGTTACTACCGTTAATATTGAGAAAAACTGAAATTATTGTGCTTTTAATCCTGCGAGTGAATTTTTTGTATTAAGAAGATACTCTGCAGTCGAGGAATCAAAAGACAATTGTTGAAAAGCAACTGCTTCAACGAAAGGTTGGTATACTTTTTCATCTGTGCGAATGATGCGCGCATAAAGTTTCTCGTTTTTTTTCTTTTCTGATAATTTGTTACCTTCTTCGGTTTATAACTTTTAAATTTTGCAGGCTTCGCACTCATCTACTAATATCTACTATTTACTACTTTTTTTGCGTTATGCTAATATTTAGGAACTTTTTTTAGATTTCAGCAACTTTTAGTATATTAAGCAAAAAAGGAACAAAGGCAGCTATTTGTTTACGGTGATTTTTGTGACCCCAGTGGAGGTCGAGGGCGCCATGGTCACGGCAACCTCCACTCGTGTCACAAAGATCACTGTAAACAATTAGGTTGTCTTTGTTTCCGGGTACTTACGTGTTACTTACCCCCCTTCCCCCCCCTTTGTAAGATATTTTACATACATTAGCGTCATTTTTTTTTGTTCGTAAGATCTGGCAGACCCCCCTCACCCATTTAAGGGGAAGGGGGGTCTAGCTATTGATTAATTTCACTAGAAAAATGGCGCTAATTTATGTAAAAAATCTTACGATTGGAAAAGGAGTGGGTCTAAAAACCTAAAATATGTTTGCGTAATACTTGAAAGGCCCCAAATCAAAAAAATATTCCCCAAAATAATAATCATATTGTTTAAAACGATTCAATTATTTAATTCATAAATAATAAAATCTCCACAGAAATTCAATGATCCACATTTTGAGAAATTATTTCTTTTGGAAAACTTTAATATAATTTTTCGCAAAGTATAATTATTCTTGAAAATTTAATTTCATTCCTCGAAAAAATCAATTTAAAAAAAAAATGTTCTTTAAAATTCATATGAAGAATTCAATTTTATCTTAATTCAATGATTTTCAATATCCACCATTATTTTAGTAAAATTTTCCAAAAGAATTTAATTATTAAAAAAAAAATGTGATATAATCCTACTCAAATATTTAATTATTTTCAAAAATAAAAATTTCACAGAAATTCAATATATTATTTAAAATTTTTTTATAAATTTCTTTACAATAATTCAAATATTTTTATAATAGGGGAGACTGGGGCGAAAGGTCAAACTGTCAAAACAGTTAAAATTCATTATCTTTCGAACAGAATAGTTAGAGCATTGCAATTTTAATTATAGAAGGGTGTTATCATTCTAAATAAATGTCCTGAATAATGTGACATTCTGTTTATTTTTGTGGTTTTCATATTTACAGGCCTCGGATATTATATGTTTTTCGTCTAGATTCAAAAAAATGCGATTTCATTGGACTTCTTTTCAAAAATTACGACTTTTTCGACTTTTCTTCCAAATATTGCAATAATTTTTAGTATAAAATGCAATTTCTTTCGATTTTTCAATAGTTTAAAAAATAACTACAGAAAAATGTTTCAAAAATTATTGTTTAATAATTTTTCTAATAAATTTCCGAAAATTAAAAATAATTTATCTTTTTCAAAGTGTTTTATAAATATTTTTAAAAATCAAATTTTATAAAGAATTTCATTTGCAAATTTGTGAATAATTGAAATTGAATTCAATTTTATTTGAATTCCTCACAATTTCTAAAATCTTAATAAATTCTTCGAAAACAATTCAATTACATAGTTTTATAAATTGAAAATCTTCGCAAGAATTCAATTATTTTTATAAATAGTAAAATTTTTGCAGGAATTCAATTACTTTCAAAACATTTTTAATTGAATTTCCTCGGAAGAAATTAAATATTTTCATAAAATTAAATTATTTCCTAACATTTTAATAATTTCTTCGAAACAATACAACTATTTTTATAAATACTAAATAAAATTTCAAAATTTACAATAAAAAAGAGTTTTAATAATTGAAATTTTGTAAAATTTAATTGAAAATAATTGATTTTTTCAAAATGTTTTATAAAGTCTTTTGAAAATCAACTTTTAAAGAATTTTAATTGCAAATTTTGAAAATAATTGATTTTTTAAAAATTTTAATAAAAAATCTTCAAGTGTGAATTTAAAAATGGTTATTAATGAAAACTTAGCTTCTAAAAATTATATAAATTTCAAAAAATTCAAATATCTACTTACAAAAAATAATAATAAAATTTTTTACAATTATTTTTAACATTTTAACAACATATAACAGTAATTTTAAAATTTTTTTATCAAATTCTTGGAAAAATTATTTTTTTGTAAATTATAGAAAAATTCTATTAAGAAATATTTTTACTTTTTTAGATTTATTAAATTTTTGGAGATATCACATTTATATTAATAATTAAAATTCTTTAAAAATTCAATTATTTTTTGGAATAGAATTTACCAAATTTCAATTGCTTGGAAATTTTTCAATTGTATATAATTAAAAAACTATTGTCTTTCATAAATTATTTTTAAAATATTTTTGAAAAATTAATTTTAAGAATTTTTTTATTATATAATTTCTTGAAAATTAATTAATAACTTAAAAAAACCTGGACAGTTTGAATCATTATAAAAACCGAATTTTTGTATTTAAATAAATTTTCTAAGAACTTTGGGAAAATTATTAAAAATAATTGTTTTCGAGAAGAAGTTTGATTAAAAATTGTAGAAAATAATTGAATTTTAAGAGAATTAATGTTGTTATTTTTAGAAGTTATTAAATTTCAGAAAGATTTTAAATAGGATTTTTGAAAATTTTATTCTTATTCAAAACAAACAAGAAGTATTTAAATTTTATTTAGTAGTAGTTTTTTTTTACTAATTATTAGTACCTATTATTAATATGTTACTAATTCAAATTAGTAAACGAATCCGCACTAATTTAGATTTAGAGAGTGCAGACATTAATCCTAATGTTTTTAAATAAAAATTATCAAGTGATTAATCATTATTTATATTTCAAGAATATTATTACTGTAACTACTCGAAATTATTTTTCAACATTTTAATTCATGTATTATCTTTAGAATTTTTAACTGAAATTCCTCTTAAATAATTATTTTTTATAATTTTTGAAACCGTTTTTTTGAGAGTTTCTAAATCCAATTGTGTTAGAATTTCAATTTTCGAAATTTTGATTATTCGGAAATCTTCAATTAAATGTATATTAGAAATTTAGAGATTAACCCAGGCGGAAAAGACGGACGCAGGGCTCGGATTGTGCGACTTTTTCGACTTTTCTAAGGAAATGTGACTTTTTTTCGACTTTTTTGTGAAAAAATGCGACTAATCGACTTTTTCAAGATTTTTTAGTACAATGCGTCTGAATTAAATTTTTTTTAGAAAATTAACAGGAAAAAGTTTTAGTCAAAAAAATGTTCTGTTACATTTATTTACAAATTTTTCGAAAACATAATAACTTCTTTTTTAATAAATATTTAATTATTTTTCCATAGGAATTAAAATTCTTCAAAAGTTTAAAATTCAAAACTTTTTGAAATTAAACAAATTATAAAAAATTGTTATAAAACATGAAGATATCGATTGCTCCGAGTCGAAGACTCGGGAGTGATTGATTTCAGTTTTATAATAATATTAAAGATGACCGAGTGATAAAATCATTTTTTATTATAAGACTATATATTAAAAAAAATGTTTTTTAACCTATTGTTTATGAAAATATTTTGAAATTTGCCAAGAATTTATAAAAAAATTTTACCTAATAAAATTTCAGAGAGAATTTATTAATTATAAAGATTGTTGCTTTGCGCCACGTCCTTTTACCTTGCTAGGATACTTGAAATTTCCGTGTGTTTTGAATCATTGTGCCGCTACCAAGTCTGCCCCGAAAATAACTAATTGCAGTCTTTGTC